GAGAGAGAGAGAGAGAGAGAGAGAGAGAGAGTCCGTAGCAAACAGCAAATGAGCACTTCACACAGCCGGGAGATCGACAAGACAAGCATCGTACCATCATCCGTCATAATTCATGTTTCAGATGCATCCGAACTGTTGAATCAATAGAGTCGTTTTACTCTCTTATATGTACATTGGTTTGGGGTACGGTTCAATCTGCAAATGATTCTAGAAGTTTTTTCCTGGAAATTGAGGCCCTGTCCAATCATCCAATTTCGTTTTGTTCAGTAGCGCTAGCTTAATTCAAATTTCGTTAGTTTCTAGTACCAATCGGCGCCGCCTTTCGGGGTTTCCTTCCTTCGCAACATTCAATATTTTCATTGTATTGCCTAATACATAGGAACCAATTAAGAAAGAGAGAGAGTGTGTACAAATGACTGTACTGAATTTTCTTCCATGTCGATACATCGCACAGGAGACACAAGGTCGAAGAACACGCGAATACCAGAAACCCCGATTTTAAAAGCATTGTGGATAATACGAAGAGAATCAAGGTATGCGACAGGTGAGGGCAAGCCAAGTTCGGATGCATCCGAGATGACAGGAGAGAGAGAGAGAGAGAGAGAGAGAGAGAGAGAGAGAGAGAGAGAGAGAGAGAGAGAGAGAGAGAGTCCATAGCAAACAACAAATAAGCACTCCACACAACTGAGAAATCGATAAGACAAGCATTGTACCATCATCCACCATATGTCGAATCAATAGAGCCGCTTTAGTCTCTTATGCCTGTGTTGGTTCAGGGCACGGTTCAATCTACAGTTCATTATCGAAATGTTTTCTCGAAAATTGAGGCCCTGTCCAATTATCCAATTTTTTTTTCACTAGCGCTAGCTTAATTCAAATTTCGTCACTTTCTAGTACCCATCGGCGCCGCCTTTCGGGGTTTCCTTCCCTCGCTACATTCAATTTTCTCATTGTATTGTCTAATGCATAGGAACCGATTGTTTGAAGGTTCATTAATGCATAGGAACCGATTGTTTGAAGGTTCATGAAGACGGGGAGCCTTGACAACATTTAATGTTGGAAGCAGAAAGCACTGAGCACGGAGGACCAGACCGGCAACCAAATGTAGAAAGAGGCCCGTGCGTTTTTTTTGCGCTCTGTTTTGCCTCACAATCTTCAAAGTGGAAATGTATAGACGAGTCGAGACAACGGGGGATAGGTGGGATAAAACCATAAAAGATAAAATTAGTAGGAGTTCGGATGCATTCGAGGATGGTGACAAAACATCACAATGATCACACCACACAAGACATGAAATGACGAAAGCAAGAGAGACAATTATGAAATAGCCGCCCCAACAATGGGGAATCGTCGGGGATGTTGGTGATAATTGAGAGTCAATTTAGAAGCACAACAATGTGGAGCACAAGCGCGCTGGGGACGTGACAATTCCACCCGGAGATATCCTGGCAGCGTCAGCCAGTTTACCTCTGAACCAATGCGAGAATACCTACCAGACTCTCGTGAAAAACCAAAAGGAGAAATCAGCGTCTGCAAAAGACCGAAATGTTCTTCTACACCAACCCTTCTACACTACGTGAACAACAAATAGCTAGACACTCACCTACCAACACTGCAAATCGCCAAAGCTAGTCTAGTTCTGATAGACGAGACGTGTCTATGGGAGAAACAAAAAAGTGGACGTAAACCTCTCGCTAAACAGGAAGCGAACATCAACAGGAATAGCCCACAACGAGCCCCGTCTTGCTGCTGAGGGACACCTTTCACGCGGACCTCGAGTGTGAAGTGGTCGAAAGTGTGACCATCACCGGCGACAATTGCCACCGTGTTAAAAAAATCAACAGTTTTATCGAAAGTGTCACTAATGAACACGAGAAAAAATCGAAGGTTTCCAAAACACATCTAGACAAGTCAATGGCCAAAAGGCTCCAGTGTGCCTCGTCCTTGTGCACTGGTGCCAAGACGAGGTTTTGAGATAGGAGGTCGACATCTTTAGCCCATCTGCTGACACTTGTCGGACCTTGCAGCAGCAATGTAGAGGCGAAGAAAGAGTTGAAGGTGTACATCTTTATGGCATGGGCAGTCCGACCGCAGTCGTCCAGTATCATCGCCATGTAGAAATTGACAACCTCATTGTTTAGCGCCCCGTATTCATCCACGAGTGTGGCGATGTCCTTGACTGAGACCTGTAAATTGTGTGACGGCAAACGCACAGCGATGAAAGTGAGCGGCAATCGATAACGCATAACGTCTTCAAAGACTGCTCTTCCATCTCGAGGAAACCAGGTTCAACACAAAGCAAGCACAAAGGACAGAGGACTATGAGAAAATGTCGCCCTAGTGACCAAAGTCCGACAAACTGCCACTCTGCGGCCCAAAACTTTTACGCATAACGACACCCCTACTTTTTGGACTTTCTATACACAGTTGATTATGAACTAGCACTGTCCTTCTTTATATCCTTGCAAGCTTCGAGAAGGATTTCCTTGCAGTCCTTCTCGGTAACACCAATTGCCTCTGCAACGAGTTTCGCGCGTGGACCTATTATGGGCACAACCACCCGTTCGGGAGGCCCCCGAGGCTTCTTATCCCCATAAAGGGAATCAGTGACATCGCCACGTCTAGTGCCTCCCGCAACCAGGACTGACAACTTCATGGGCGCAGAAGGCTCCTGCAACATGTGCGTTTCTCCACGAGTGCATCAACCTGTACAAGAAATAGCACATCATGTTCGACTACAATAAGCATCGGTTAAGATATCCACCGATAACGTTCAGTTGGCGGCTGACAACACAACTTCGCAAGAGTAACGAAGCAAACAGCACCTCACGAACCCCACCGGTAACGTTCAGTTGGCGGTTGTCTATACAACTTCCCGAAAGCAACGAAGTAAACAACACCTCACGAACGGGTTGACGAGCGGGAAGCAAGCAAAGAAATTCAGTGCTTACCAGGCTTAGCTTCCACGTCACCAGAGTCCACCGATGGTAGTCCCAACACGATTGGCGAACGTCTGCGCGTCGACGCCGCAACGACGTGCTCCAAACCACCCGGGAAACGTGATAGGTTTGAGATGTTGGTGTCGATGATCGGAGACGGCATAACTTCTTCCCGATGATGCAAATCCTCTATGCCCGCGACAGACAATTTTATTCCGCTCTTCTCCGGACTTAGCGAGTCGAGGTCTACAACGTTAACATGTTGTGATTTCTTCCCAGTGTCGTATTGTGTCGGGCTCAAGGTCCCATCGATGTCCAATAGCACTTCTTCCCCTTCGAACTTATTGTCCTCGTGCGCAGTGTCTTTGTCGTCCTCACTTAAATACAACAAACCATCTTTAACAGCGTCGGAGGCCTTCTTCAGAATATTCTCTCCTATAGCCACATCGTGAAGGCCAGAGTACAAGGGGTCCTCGTAACCCGACACGACTCGTTGGTCCAACCCGACGGGCCGCATCTCATATCCTGAGTAGTGGGGGGCATGCTCACGTCGCTGGGCTTCGGATCAATCCGAGCCCCAGCGGAATGCAGTGGCGAGTACCCGTTCGCTTTGTCGAAAGTCGTGACATGTCCACAACCCTTGACACCGTGCAGTTCGAGCCCATCGTCTGTCTGCTTCGGATGCATCCGAATTACGACGGTCTCCAAAGCACCATCATCGATCGACATGCTCACGTCGCCCAGGTTCGGATTCATCCGAGTCCCGACGGAGTCTAATGGCACGGACGTGTCCGCTTTCACCGCAGAAACTGCCAACGAAGCGCATACTGTAACAGGGCATTCCTCTCCGAGTGTGCGGGACTCGAGAATGGAAGTGGGCGCTAACTGACCCTCAAGGGACTCCATGGCATTGTCTTGAACACCGACTTCAAAACACGAACGGTCTTCCTGCAACTCCTTGGGGACTTCCACACACAACATCTCGGCATCCTTACACCGATCGGTCGTCGTAGTTGTCACGTGCTCCTGGTTCGGATGAATCCGAATTTCGCCGGCAGGGTGTTCGGAAACCCGACCCGTCCATTCGAGTTTCGTAGACCGGTGTGCTGTCCTGACGGTATTGGCATCCATGTTCGGATTAATCCGAACTTCCTGATGCGGCGGAACGGAAAATGGTTCTTGGTTGTCGCAGTTGGACCCGAGGTATGTTGTCGTCTCGCTTCCCACAAGGCACTTAGTTCCAGACAACGACGTCGTTTCCGTGGTTCGGAATGATCCGAGACAATCCACAATTTGCGTTTGGACCTGAGCAGGGCAAGTGCCATCTGTCGCAACAACTGTCCCGACAACCAAAGCGATAATATGTGTCGCACTGGCGGAGCTAATTACAAAGTCCTGTTCGCCAGGCCACGGAATCCACCCAGGCCTAAAGTCATTTCCCGTCTCCATTGAGGTGCTGCGTGTTACCGCCAATGTCGCACCGTCCTCATCCCCGTCGACGTTGGACCTCTGCCCATCTCCGCTATGATGCCTTTTCTTCTCTCCGCTGTGAGGCTTTTTCTTCTCTCCGCTGCCCTTTTTCCCCTCTCCGCCACCTTCGTGCTCTGGAGACCGCCGTTTCGCCGAGCGTTGTTCACTCCCCCCCCCCGATCCGTGTTGACCGCCACCATGACCATCCCCTTCGTCGTCCTTTCCGTGAGACTTGCGCTTCACAACTCTAGCCGTCGGCGTAATCGCAGACAACTCCCAACATGCGTGACATTGTTTCAATGACGGGCTCGACGGAAGGCTGTAGAACGCAGAGGATACTTCCAACCATTTATTTGACTGCAATAATTCGAACAACGTGTCCGCGTATGCCCGCAGAGCAGGGTCCTCCTTGTGTCATCGATTGGCCTCACCCAATTTCTCCAATACCGCCTCGTAGGCTTGAGACTTGAAAATAGCAAGGTCCCAACGATCGTCATATTCCCACCCTCCAGTTATGTCCCTCACAGCCACTGCCCATTCACCGTCAAGAAGGACTGGCTGGAAATGGTCAGGGTGCTACACGATATCATGGCCCCAATCTTCGACTTTGGAAAAGGTGTATTTGTCGCCCATGTGGTAGGACCGTGCAGTATTCAACAAATGTGGATGGTCAGGAGGAGCTGGTTGGCCGGGTTGTAGGCGTTCATGGTGCAGTGTGAGACGTAGTGACTCCACCGACGAACTCCTCAGACGGGATAACCCACCCCTCTTGACACGCGCTGAGGAGGACATGGGTGTGGGACCGCCTGAGGTGGGTGTAGCGAGCAGTGTCCCCGGTTTGCATACTGAGGGCGACTCAAAAATGACTTGGGCGTTGAAGATGGCTAATTGGCCGTCGAAGTCGAAGAGGTCGTCCTCAGCGCTCTCCTCCTGCTCAGTGTCGATATTGAAGTCATCCTCCTCGCCAAATGCCAGCCTGTACTTGTCCAAAGTGAAGTCAGCCGGATCGTCCAAACCTTCATTGAAGATGACGTATTCCAACCTCTTCATGAAGTCCACTGCGCAGGTCCGACTCGCCCCGTGGTGGCCCTGGAGGACTGCAATGGCGACTTCCTTTCGCATCACGTAGTCCACGTCTACTCTCCACTTCGGTTGATGGCTGAAAAGAAAGGAGTAGAGTTGGCGCCTTTTCTTCGGAGTCTACTTGAAGAACATGTCCTTATTCGGGTTATATACGGGCTCGACGGTAACATGGTTGAAATCGCACTCGTAAGCCCCAGACTGGACTTCATGGGCAACAAACTGCATGGTGTATTCAAGTTGCGTTGAGTTCCCCTCCACCGCTAAGACACGCCTTCCGCTGTGAAGCAGATTCCACACCACCTGCGCGTGCAGCTTGCCAAGAAACAACACGGCATCCACCACACCACAAAAGAAAAGAAGTTGACTGCATAACTGATTAGGATTGCTCTCGCAGTCCTTGTACACAGTCCCCCCCTGACTGAGGTTTCCAATGTCTGCGAAATTCAAAGACTTGAAAGGGTTCTCCACAACATCCGTAGGTGTCACTTTCTGTTTCCTCCGGAGAGCGGCAGTATCGTCTTCGGCAACAGCTCCCTCGTACACTGGGTGAGTCAGTAGCTGCGGATCCTCGCCTTTGAAAAGGATGTGCATTACATCCGGCTTCTCCCACACGCTGTTACTGAACTGATGGGTCTTCTTCGTTGGCATCTTGCACACTTACTTCCCCGTGTAGCATCGGGTGGCCCTAAGCGCAGACAAAGATGTCATGAAGGAAAGGTTCCACAGGCAGGGAACGAATACCACCAATGTCCAGTAGTCCCAACTGCCATTTCGTCAAAATGGACATCTTTTATTTTTTAACAAAATTGAAATTGAGTTTTTTGGCCGAAAACTCGTCAAAATTTGTTGTTCCTGAGGGTCCGACGTTTGTAAGATGCTGGACCCCCTGGCTGTACATGGACCCAGCTTGAGACTAGGTACCTCCAGGCAGTCCTGCCTGGAGGTGCCTGGTCTCAAGCTTGGTCCATGTACAGCCAGGGGGTCCAGCGTTTTACAAACGGCGAACCCTCAGGAACAACTAATTTTGACGAGTTTTCGACCAAAAAACTCAGTTTCAATTTCGTTCAAAAAAAAAAAAAAGTCAATTGTGACGAAATGGTCGTTTTTTGATAAACGAAGCCCAGGAACTCAGAGACGCGAATGCCCCCAAATCCCAGCGCGCCCGATCCACAGTTCCGCACAAGTCGAGCACGCAAGTGTGGGAGCGTAACTGATTCGTCAGTTTCCTTAGCGCGCCCTTATCATCCAAGGCATTCAATGGGTCGACGACAAACGTGGCTAGCGTCGTCACGACTCACGACGATTGTCTTCCTCCACAAAATGTTGATGCATTTATCAATGCCTCGAGGACCTGTTTTGCTCTGCGCTCGCTCTCCAGTGATCACCGATAGGAAATGTTGGTCGTTCATGAGGGTCACAGTCTTCTTGACATTGATGTCATGGGAGCACCCTAGATACTGAGGGTACTTGTTGACGTAGGTGGTGTCATTGAAAAACTTTCTGCTCTCGTTCCGAAGCTTGTCGTCAAGACCTTTGTCCGTGGACTCTTCAAACAATTTTTGAAGAACGAGGATTTGACATTCCACTCCTCCTTACCCATTTCCTCGTACTCGAACTCCACGCAGTGTCACAGCCTGAGCATAATCCGATCGATTTTTATTATGTCGACCATCTCCTTGACATTGAACTTCCCCTGCTCGACCAACTTCTTGCTACTCGTTTGAACCCACAGGACGGTAAGGTTCAAGACGCCCTGCAACAACCTTCTCTTCTCGTCGTCCGTCAAGTCTGCCAATTCCTTCCAGCAGTGGACATCAGGCTCAGGAACTTGGACGTAGTAAGTTTTCTCCTCCGCACCTTTCTTTGGCTTGCCCTTGCCCTTCTTCAACGATGGGTCGTCCACCTTAACGTACCAGACGTGTTTTTTCAGTCCCTGGTTGTCAGTCACAGTCGATAGTCCTGGCTTGGCCACCTCCGCATGGGTCGGTGACTTTTCAGTCCAACGCTGACCGTCGAAAGCCATAAGTTTTCCTTTCGACCATTAGTCGTAGACCTTCTCCGCCAACTCGAAGACCGACTCGTCAGCCATGGCCAGTGGGAGGTAGTACCGAAGTTTCTCGGCCCATTCCTTTTTCTTCTTTTCTTCCATTGACAAGCCCCACAAAGGGGTGTACGGTGTCTTCTTCATTGCTAAGCCCATGATCTGAGTCCACTTACGCACCTCCTCCTTTTTCTTGGACGCATTACCGAGGATGACACGCGGTCTCCCCTGAATTTTCCAGATATTGCGAATGTCCTGCATGGACAAAATCTGCAACCTCGGTGAATTATTCTTGTCTTTCAGGTTGTCTTCGCAACTGACATGGGCGTAGCCGTCGAACTCGTCATCTGGGAAGTAAATTGGTCTGAATGGCCATTCACAGAAGGTGTAGTAATTGAACACGGTATGGTCTTTCACCTTCATTGCCGCTCTCGCGTTATGCTGACCACACACAGGATAATACCAATATTTCTCGGGGTGTGAGGCGTCGAAGTCTTGAGGCAGCACTCGCACAACAGGTTTGTCCTTCACCAGTGGCGTGACGATCGGTGCCAAAATGAAAGTCGACTTTGTATATCTCATGTCTTGACGTTCGTAGTAGTCGATCACAGCATCCTCGATGGTATCCACGAGGAACTCGTCCAAGGATCGGTGGTTGTATGCGTCTTCCAAGTCTGGAATATGCAAGATTTTTTCGGGATGGACATGCAACACAACGTCCTTTTGCACCCCCGTCTTCATCTCCAGGAAGAACACTTTGTCGAGGTTAAATGTATTTAGGTTCAGTTCCATGCCATCATCCCCCTCCCCGGTGTCGCCCTCATCTGCTTTCTTCTCCTTCGTCGACTTCAACCTCTTCGCGGAGGACTCACCGGTTCTTCGCCATGTCGAGGAGTCTTTCAGCGTATTATCCCCCCCTCCAACCCTTTTCCTCTTCTCAACGGAACCGCGCTCTTTTGTCGTCGACGTCCGACCACTTCCTCCTTCCCTTCTTTGCCTTTTCAGGGTCGCTCCTCCCCCCCGCACTTCGTCAACCGGCAAATTGCGCTTGCCTCATGACTGAGTCATTTCAGGCGAGCTTTGTCGAATTGCCCCCAACTCGAGTAGCTCCTCGTCACCGGCGACGTTGCCACCTACCTCTCGTTAAGGGCCCACCTCCGTCTGCAGCTGTATAGGAGCAGGGCGGCCCGACCGAGTCGTCTCGTCCACCCCACACACCTCTCCAACCTGCGAGCTACCCGGTCGAACGCCCGTCTACTCGACCACCTTTCTGCCACGAACCAAATCACCGATCATGTCTACGAGGCGACGGGGAGACTTCGATCCCGAGGCCTTTTCCAACCATTCGCAACCCCGCCACCAAGCAACGTCGGAAATGGCGACTCCCCAAGCAAACCTTCGCGGCGAGATCCCTGCAAGCCGGGTTTCAAAGGCGCACACGCACGCTCGTCCTCCGAGTCATCCGACAAGCCCACTGGCGGATCATGAGGCGTACCTGCAGTCCACACTCCCCTCCCACACCTTCGCCAAAACGGTATCCTCCCACGAACCCAACAGGACCACTTATCGATGTCCCAGGGTCCACGTCTATGCCATGGCTAGGGCCAACTGTACCTTACCAAACCTCGAGGAAGTCTTTCACGTGAACGGCTTCGTCGTGGCTTGGTGCTAACGGGACGAAGAAGGGCAAAGCCATCACACTCTCGCCGTACCCCCCGAACATCTTCCCAGAAACCTTGCATCCTTTTGCCGGTTCGTCAACGGACCAATCACTTTGGTACAGCTTCCGCAAGGTAAACCGTATAATGTCATCGCCTTCGTCAGCCCACTCGACGATGGACCCTGCGAGACTCGTCGTATTGCCGCGACCGACGAGGAACAAGACTGACCCGCATCGAGGTTTCACTGGGTTGGAGGCATCCTGACAGGCCCAGTCCACATACCAGACACGCTTGTTGTAGTCGCACCACAAGTTTTGAGCCCTTCTTTGTTCCTCCCCACCGAGACCTCCCCGACTAGTAGCCCTGACCGGTGTCAACGTCGTCCTTCGAGGTTCTTCCCCCAGCGGGGCGGAACCACCAGGTGAGTGGGCTTCTCCGTGAGTATCAATTCCCCGAAACACGCGAAGCAATTGAACACACGTCTACTCAGCACACCCAACACACACAAGACAGAGCGATCGAGAACTTGAGCACGTCCTAACATAAACCTCGACCCACAGCACCTACGATGACCACCATCCATCGGGACCTGAAAGACGTGAAGTTCAGTGATGGTTCGATGTCAGTGGACCACGGGCCTGATCATGAAGGAGGGCAACTGCCAGTTTCGGATTAATCTGAACCATGGACAAGGCTAGGCATTTCCAGAGAGAAAGATCGGGCAAGTGAACTCGTCATCATCACACTTCTCTTCACAGAATGCAAGGTCGCACAGGAACACAAATTGCCAAAGGAGCGTTCTGCCG